GTGACACTGCTGCAGTGGACAGTTCAATAAAATCAATCTTCAGCGAACGAGGAGACCTGGATTTTGTTGAACAATTATGGTGCAAAATGAGAAGTAAGTGTAGTGTTTTGTTGTGGTGGCTTTTAGTTGTTGTGGTTGTTGTTTTTTTTGACCCATCCACTGTCCTTTAATTCTTCTCTGTACCTACAATACTGTATTACTTTCTTGAGGAAATTAAAGTAAACTTCTGAGTTTTATGTACGGTTCAGTTCTTCAGAAAATTGTTACTTTTTTCTAAAGGAGCTAATTTTAGGTATGTAAAACCATGCACTTTCTCACAACATACGAAGGCATTGCAACATCTAGCAGGAGACACTGTATTTCTTTAGGATTATAACAGTACTAAACAGTCAGGAGTGTGTGCCTGCTCTGTAGCTAAAAACCAGTGATCTGTCAGAGTGACTTTCTAGATCTGAAAGACTTAAAGTTGATAAAGCTGCATGCTTTGTCATTCTTGTTGTAGGACTTACATTCTTCACAAAAAGCAGTGCCATCTGTCATAGAATCCTTAGACTGGAAGGGACCTTTAAGGTCATCTGGTCCAACTCCCCTGCAATGAACAGGGACATTTTGGCTATCTGTTCTTTTTAAATGAGCAGTTAAGTTTTTGCAAGTACTTGTTGGCTGTTACTCACTGAGCAGCTGAAGGGAAAACCTGGATAGATAAATAAAACATGGCATCATTTTTCTGAAGGTGTCTGTTCCTATCAGGAGCTGGTAGAGTGTCTCACGCTGGTCATAAAATTCCTGGAGCACGGTGAAATACAGCCATGGGTATGTAATCTATTTCACAATGATTTTATCTTTTTCAATTACTCGAAGCAGAGTCTAGCTCTTAGTATTTAGTTGCCCCTTATTTCCATGTTGTTTTGCTGAGGTTTTTTTTTTTGCTTGTCACAATTTGCATGTTTCCATGGTGTTGCATTTCTAAATAATACTGTGCTGTTTTGTACACAGTTACCACAGGAAAACTTGTTTGACTTTCAGATTCATCAAGGGAGTAGCAGTTTGCTCAGTAAACTGGTCCAGCAGTCTTATCATGGCAAGGTGGAAGCCGTGTCCCTCAGTGGTATCACTCCAATTCAGATGCTCTTGGAGATTGGTTTGGATAAGATGAAGAAGGATTATGTCAGCTTTTTCATAGGTAAGCCAGGAATCTGTTGTCATGATTAGAGATCCATGGGAAAAGGCTGCTGTGCTCAGGAAATAATAGCAGGTTCCAGTCGCTTCAATTTCACTTCTGCCTGCCAGCTCCTGCAGTGCTGTTCCCAGCCTCCTTGGTATTCATGCTGTCATGCTGTGTGTGTGTCTTCTCAAAATTAAAAAATGAATTTGTTTCCAAATAACTGCACTTAGTAGAACTCTGCAATTCTTTTTCTAATTGAAAAAAATCTCATGGTTAAACTTACTGTAACATAATGTCAGATGTACATAATGGGGCTGTTCTGTTTTCTTACCTGTCTGCTGTAGGTGATAAAATAAGATCTTCTTGCTCTTTCTGCCTTTTCTTCTACGGTCTACATGGGTTAAAGGAAATCAGGCAAGGGTGTTTATATGTAATAGCTGTGTTTGTACAGTCCATAGTATGTAGATTTTTTATTTTTTTTTATATTTAATTTATTTTTAGTACATATTGTATAATCCAAATCAAAGCTGGGCTGGAACAGTTTTTGTAATGTACGTTTTTTTTCTTGAAAGCATCATGGCTTTGTTTTTAGTATTACAGCTTTATTTTTTTTCTGAATGCAGAAGGGATATTATGTTTGCCACTGTACTTATCCACTTCCTTCATCTCTTTCTTTCTTAATTTATTTCTTGCTTTGTCACACTTGATCTTTCATTTTCATATTTGTTATATCTAAACCTGGGTATCCCAAGGAGGGTGGTTGTCTGAAAGCATGGGATGACCTGTGTGGTGCTTCCATGGAGCCTTGGCAGTATGTAAGATACTGCCCCTACCCTGCCACTTCAGTGGCTTTGTTCCTTGTTTTGAGTTAGTAATCATGTTGATAAATAACATCATCTTCCATCTTAGTGGCTGCACTTGTTTTCCTTAAGTAGAATTTGCTGGTAGGTTACCTGGCTGTTCCTGTATTTCACCTTATGATCTCTGATAATTGCTTTTTCTTGTTCACTTTACAGGCCAGGAACTCACAACATTAACCTATTTGGTGAGATTCTTTATTTTTAACTCTTAATGTACAGCCCACTCGGTGAGGGGGGGGGGGGGGGAATAGCTTTCCCATAAGCTGAGCAACTGAATTGCAAATAATGAGAATGGGACAGCATAAGGCAGAAATGTCATTATGTTGTTTCCTTATTCATATATTATTTCCCATTTGTCTGGTGTTAGTCATTGTCAGGCACCAGAATTCTGACTTTGTTCTGACTCTGCTGGGCCATTCTTTATATGTTTACTTCTTCAAAGAGCAACAAAATGATTTTAGTAAGCAGAGGGCAGGCTGTGTGTGTAGAAACTGAGGGTCCAGTTAAGAGCTGAAGCTGTTTGCTTTTCCAGGATTACTTTGTTTCCACATCAGTAGATCTACAAGAGCAAGTTCATCGTGTTCAAAAGCTTCATCATATGTTGGAAATAATGGTCAGCTGTACAGTCTTCCTGCAGTTTAAACATGAGAACCTCTTCCCTTTGACACAGTAATTATTTCATTTTTACTTTCTAAATGGCATTAACAGACAGACTCTCTTTGATAGTAGTAAGTAAACTTTTAAAAAAAAAAAAAAAAAAAAGCAATCTGAGGATTTAATTAATTTTGCATTAGGTTTATGCAGTGTTGCACCAGTGTTCATCCAAGGAATGTAACTTGTTGATTCATATTACTCTAGAACTTGCCTGAAATATTATAAAGAAAATCCTCTGAATGAGAAGCAAGTGTTTCAGCTGCCGATCAGACCAGCCCTTGTCAAGAAGTTCTATCAGAAGTAAGATCACCTTCCATGTTTGCAGCGCTCAGTTCAGGTTGTGAATTCAGGTCTGAGCACCTGACTGAATGTGGACTTTTTTTTATTATTCTATCAGTGATCACCCAGAAATATGGAAGGTGGACATAACCAGTGGGCATGGCCAAAAGGAGGTTAAAACAACGTGGCAAGTTAGTGCTAAGCCTCCAGTTGAACATATGCCATCGAACAATATAGGTAAGGAATATTTATGGTGAAATGAAATAATGGAAGTACACATTTAAAAAATTTTTATGCTGGGTTTACTGAGTATGTATATTTTCTTATGTATGTATGTTCAGCAAAACTGAAGCAAAGCGGTCTTTCATTAAGAATATGAGGTGGAATTTACAGAACATAAAAGACTTTCAGAAGGTCTGACCTTCTGCCTTCTTAATTTGACTGAGTTATGTTTTTAGTGTTAAAATGGCAGAAGATTTCTAAGGATGACTTGACTGTTTAGTATCTTCCGCAGCATCTTACAGCTTTTAAAATCTTTGCCCGTGTATCTGAGAATGGGTCTGAAGAGAAACTTATCTGTTGCTAGATACTTACATCCAGTCTGGGAAGCAAACAGGCTCTAATGAGAGGAGACGTACCTTGCTTCATAAAATCAAGTGTAGAATAAGTGAAAATGCATGAAGACGGAAGAATTAAGAATATAGACTGCTATAGAAGTGTCTGGGGTGGGAGCAAAGGAGAGGTTAGTCACAGGGCAATGCTTTGTAAAGCTTGACTGTCTTCCTCAATTTTTTGTCATGAAGGGCCTCTGTCACTAAAACTTTATTTCAAGGAACAGGTTTCAAAATTCCTACATTATCTACATTTGTTCCTTCTGAAAACGCTGGCTAATCACATCTTTTGTCTATGCAGGTCTCTTTTGCGATTCTACAGTGAATGGAAGCAGTGAAGAAAGGATGTATTTTGTTGCAATGGCTGAGTGCAGTCAGGTGCATTTCACATAAACGCACATTACTGTGCAGGCAGGTGCTTGAAAGGTACAGTAAGGGGGGAGGTGCAGCATTATCTGCATCAGCAGCGTGTTGGAAAGATTCTGGCATTTGGAGAACAATGCATCTTACTGAGTTCTTTGCTTTAGTATGCTCATACAGTGTGACATGCAGCCCTAATTCATCTATACCTATCCAGTTTGTTTATAAACGTGCAATTATGAATGTACAGAATAATTGTTTTGGTAATATAGTCGATATTTTGGTACATAAACATTCAATAAAGTTCTGCACTTTGGGGTTTAAAATTTTATTTTTGCTCATTAAGAATGCACACAGACACTGTTCAAAGCTATTAAGCCAACAAAACAAGCAGTGTTGTCATGGGTATTTTTTGTATCAAGAGATATTTCGTCCTTCAGATATTTTTGGAAAGCCATTCATCCAGGGCATTATGAATCTCTACAGTTTGGTTTTCTTCATATCTGAATTTACACTTTGGAGTCTTCCTGGCTGGTCTCGTTTCTGCTGCTCAGTTCAGTGTTTCCCTCAGTTACTTCGGCAGTGCTGTCATGCAGACTTTTGCGTTACTCTCTGAAGAAATATTCAGTATGATTGCTTGGGCATAATCATTTAAATATGTTGGGTTTAATTACTGACAGTAACACATGGTTGAACATAAGATACTGCGTATAACTTTTTGGTAGTTTCAGTGAACAATTACATAACGTAATATATGGTGAGTTATGCTATATGTATGTTGATTAACCCAGTTGTGTGGTTGTATGAGGTAAACCTAACTCCCTATTAAAAAACTGTAGAGAGAACCATCCTGTAGTGTAAATCTCACACGGTAGTTATCATCTTTGAGAAATCACTTCACCTCTACTCCACAACTAAATACTAAAGTATCATCCTAACTTGCAGCCATGAAATAACTTAATGTTTAAGTGGTACTCTTGGAATATTTGAATCACTTTCCATTTTAAAACAGTGCTTATCTCTCCAAATAGCAGCTATGTGGTAATGAAAAGTGAAATGATGAGCAGATTGAAAACAGAATTTGCAGATTTTAATCACTTGAAATGTGTGCTGGCAAGGTTAGAATCACTTTCATCGTATCTAGCTATTCCATATAATCATTACCAAAATAACAAGAAACAGAATTTGCTGCTTAAAACTTAAAGAAAATAATGCAGAAAGAAAATATATTTCAGGTTTTATTAAAATTTCTAAATTATATTTTGAGAATTGAGTTTAAAAAAATTAGAAGCAGGTCTGGACAGAGCTGCATGGACAGAGCAAATAACATTTATTCACCTTTACAACAGTGCAAAAGGAGGCACTTGTGGTAAGTGTTTCATAATGCAGCTGAAGTACTGTACTGTTTTTCTTACACAAAAAGAGTGCTCAGTTGTGCCAATTTTATCTGTGATTTTGGAGGAAGAACAGGAGTAGGACAATACATGATGAGTATATCTCAGCAGCATCTATGTCTGCTTGGCTGTGTGGATCAACAGGTTCCCCCCAGCCACTCATTAAGGAAATTCCAACCATACCTTAAAAACAAAGTGATAATTCTGCAGTTTATGCATAATTGCTAAGCCCTTGATAGAAGTAGAAGCATAATTACAGAATGAATACTTATTACCATGCTGCTCACTGTGCCAGGTGTTGTAAGAGTGCCATACATTTGCGTGAGTCTGTAAGAATACATAAGAGCATATGCACACTGTAACTGTTACATTGTAGGCAATGCAGGAAGATAGTGGAGAGGAGCTTCTGGATTAAGGTGTATCTGAAAATATTGCATCATTTCTTCTAAGTATATCATGGAAGCTTTCATTTCTTATAAAAACCACAAACATTTATGCAATATGCCTTCCTTAAATTCCTTGAGGTGCTCATAGAGGTTACACACAGCATTCAGTATAGTGTCCTGTCCAGCATCTCTTATCTTGGATATCTTTGCCTAATTTATTGAAGTTAGTGAGTGTTTCTTTCTATGAGTCACTGCAGTCACTCTGAAAAACTGAGTTCATTTCACCAGACCAGGATTTTATTCCATGTTTCTAGGCTAACCTGGACATTTTCTTACTCAACCAGTTTTGCAGTGTTTTTCAAGGGGGCATTTAAACTGCAAGAAGTATTAAGTTGTCACAACAAAGGGCTACGTCAAGCATCTTTCATTGCGTGTGATCCCTGAATATGCATTAGTGGTCTGAAATCAGGTTGCCTCAGCTACTAAATAAATTTGATGTGCCATTTGGAACTGGCATGGTTACAAAGCTGTATTTCTGTTTAAAGAGCAGGACGAAAAGCTTAATCAGTGTGCTAAAAATTCTCACTTCACACAACTTAAAATTCAATTTAAATTTTACTTTAATTATATGTGTGCTGCGTTGTATGCTCCACTTCCACCGAGCTGCAGTCCTGGTGCATGTTCACCTGTTTTGTAACCTTTTTCAGCAACTGCCTAGATGTACACAGAATTAGTTATTATTTGAAAAGCAGAGCTAACAAATTTGCTAATATCCTAAATCCTAATATGGATTTAGACCATGCAGGGATCTCTCCATCCTCTCCAGGCCCCTTTTTCTTTCTCCTCCCCTTGGCTTCTGTCTGCTCTCATGCTGCTTGGCTGTAGCTTGTTGGAAGCAGTGTGTTGCTGACCAGCCATAGCAGACTGACCTGGTGCTATTCCACCATGTAATGTCTTTCATGCATTTTGACTGCGTTTCTGGCTTTTGTGCCTATCTTTCTTCCAGCTGATGGTTTTTTAAAACTTCATTGGAATTTTGTGTGTCCTGAGATAGGGTCTTGTCTGGAACTGGCCACTGAGATTTTGGAGCACAGTTATTAACTGCAGAGGACTATATCTGTCTGTCTATCTATCTATTCACCTATAATTTTACCTGGAATTCTTAGTGTACTTTCCTGTAGTGCCCCTTCTGTAGAGTTTTGTGAATAGAAACTGAGCATGCAACTGAAGTAAGGAAAACATTGATAATTTACCCACAGATTACTAAAAGTAATCCCATGTTTCACACAATCTCAAACTTCTCAAAGCACAGATTGGCATAATCATTAAAATAATTGATCATGCTTATACTTTGCCAGCCACCATACTTTTCTTGGAGAACCTTCAAAAATAAGAATATAAAGAATCAATAGTGTTACCTGAAGTTCATTTTCTTACTAACAAAGACTTCTTATCTTTGGAGCTGCTGAAATGTAAGTAATACAGCAATGTATTTTAAATGCAAATGAACAGAAAATGATTATTAGCACACTTAAAAACATGCAGGCGTCTTTAAACATTTTTCTAATGTGATGTAGTCCTTAGATGTAGGAACATGTCCTATCAGAAACATTTACCTTGAGACATTTCACCAATTTTTCTGGCCTGTGGTAGGTCCCAGTGATAGAGGCTCACAATGAGGATAATACTGCTCTCTAGAAGGCCATTAATTGTGTCATTGCAGAACTATATTCCTTTCTCATTCAATTGTTCTGCTGATTAAACACACAGAGAAGAAATTACCTGGGCTGTTTTCCAAATATCTGAGAAAACAGAAATTTGAAAATGTTATCTGGGAAAGTACATTGCAGTAATGGGTACACTGTCATGAATGTGTAGTTGTTAGACTCTGTTCTGCAGGCAGAGAAGTAAATCTGTATGACAGTCATGTTAAACAGGCATGGCTTTCTCCGAGGTAAATTGTCTATTAACCAGTAAGAATATGGTGAGGTTGTGCTTGCTTCTGATTACCAGTGGGCATTATCCGAGCCCATGAGATAGAGAGTAGATAATGATTAACTTTAAGCTCCTTCAGTAACTGAATGTCATCCTATGAAATTAGCATATCTTGTATCCAGACAGAATAACTCTTCAGTTATTCATCAGTCTTAAATAGTTCTGAACATAGAAAATCTTGAAGAAGAAAAAATAATAGTACAAATATCCACATCTTCAATAGTAAAGTAGGAGTAGGTGACACATGAAATAGCTCTAGAGGGACAGTTCCCCCTTGGTGCTACCTTTACTTTGTGGTAGCCATCACAAGCTGAGTCTCCTGCTTTGTCTCTGGACACTTTCCCTTTCATGTGAGTAAAAGCATCCCAGATAATTGGTCCTTACACATCTTTGTCCCAGGATCCTTCAGTCTGGTATGCAGAACTTCCAACTCTCCATAAAAACCTTGGAGGTAAAAAGACTTGAGTTACAACTTAAACGTTTGGCTGCTCACCAGTCTTTCACACTAACTTTGCATATGAGTAAGTAAGTGATGCACCTTCGCTTTTGCTAAAACAGCTCTTCCACTCTGTTCTGCTTGTGCTTTTAGTCCAGCACTTAGTGCTCCTCATGGATTGTCCTCTGTTGCTATGTGTCAGTGAGTAAATAAGGCTTCCGTGCCTCCTTTCCCTTGCACAGTCAGCTGGGAAATGCTTTCATACTAGAAAGCAGCATTAACATGGGATGTGTGAGCCTTTTACCCACCCACCCTAAGGATTCTGTGGGTTCTGTAAGAAACACCTATGGGTTCAGTAAGGAAAGTGGTGTGTAGAAGAAGCCACTCAGGAGTTGGGTGATTTTTTCTTGCTGCAGCACCCATGCAGCTGCCCGACCCTGGGGCTTTCTGTGTGTGGGTGACTCATGACCTGGAACCTGCTTCTCAAGGCCTTTGAAGCCATACAGGCTGAGCAAATTCCTATTTATTCATTTGAGTTTATGCTTTTTAAGTAGTACTGGTGCCCTCTGGTGGTCAGTTTCACGAATGAGAATTAACTCTGAAAGCATTTTCTGGTAGCCTAAAATAAATAATACCATTGTACATGTTACACTGCCTCCGATGGCAGAAGTAAAATATAAAATAAAAAGCACATTTGAACCACAGAGGGCACTTTGTCATGAGCCCCTTGTTCATCCATGCAGGTCACTTGATACACTTGTTTCTGGTCAGGATGGACCATGCTCAAGGTGTTGCTTGAAAACCAGCCAGCTAAAGTGCTCTGGGAGTAACAGTGCTCATGAAGAGCAGTACTGTGTGCATAAGTCAGCCTGCTGCAGAAGAGCTTGGTGCTTAAGGCACCTTCAGTACTTGGCATGCATTTGGCACAAGTTCTCTCCTGCAGAAGGTGGGCAGGACAGTGTGTACAAGTCACTGCAGCATTGTGTGATGCTGGAGTTACTAGACTTATTAATGCTGTGCATTATTCATTTCTCATTATATCACATTTACACATAAAACCATGACAAAAATTAAGGCTCTGGCATGCCAGGAGGCAGATAGTTACAGTTCTGAGATCTGACAGAGGCAGATCACCCCTCTTAACAGGTGAGGAGCTGAAGCCCAGGGACACTGGGCAGAAATCACCCAGGGAGCATCTATCAGAGCTAGCAGAGCTGAGCCCAGTCTGTTGCCATCCTGCATAGCGCAGTGCATGCAAGCCAGTTTGCTTCTTTAGGGGTGTGCTTACGTGTCACTGAAGTCACTTGGCAAACTGTCACCACTTTCAGTGGTCAGAAGAGCAAGCCTTTAATGTGCATGAAACTAAGATTCTTTCAAACTACGTTTAGTAGTGGCTGCTACAAACATAGTTCTGTTCCGCTTTGTGAGCTGGGCTTACATGAGTTTTCTCTTACCGTAATCTTATTCTGTGATGCTCTCTCCCAGCTTCCTGAATTAAAGCCCAACTTTACAAAAAAAAACAAAGTCATGAGATATTTACATTGCTGCAGCTTGGTCATTTTTTCCTTGTTTCATCTTGGAAAACTTTTATTAGCAGCAGTTTTTAAATGTGCCAGAAACACATCAAGGCTATAAAATGTTTTATTTTGTTTTATTGGTGAGTAAAAAGAATGTTAAAAAAATGTACTCGGTGGAGACTGTCCAAAATTGCCCTATGACTGCAGTAAAATAACCTGGAAAGTAGGTTATGCAATTGGCTTACCACAGGGTGTTGTGAAGCCAGCAGAAAGTCACAGCTGACGCTCAATTTGGGCTTATCTGCAGTTTATTGTCTGCAGCCTGGAGCGGGGCCCCACCTTTAGTGATGCAGGTATTTATGTATTATCTGGCTGCAGACTTACTGTGTAACCAGATCACACCAACCTTTGCAAAAACCCCTCTATCTGAAACCAATCGATCCTTACTCTTTTAGTTGATTTTCTTTTGTGCTAGACTTCATGTTGCAAAACCTCTCAACAGCCCAGAGACACCTGAACCGGTGGGTACCACTAAACTGCTCTTTGATTTTGCTTTTAGCCCTAGGGTCTTGTGCGTCCTGGTGATAAAGTAGAAGCTGTTCATAATTCTCTGACAGCTATTCAGACAACCAGACCAAATTATTCTCATACAACTGTAACTGTAACCCTCTCTCCTGATATTTCATTCTTGCAATTGCACTCCCCCTCCAACCTTGAAAAGGCCTTTTCTGTCTCAGAGAAAAATGCTTTTTATTACAGAGTGACCAGAAAAACATGTCATTTTCCAGTGTGTGGTCTACTGCAGCTACTCTGGAATACTGGAGATTTTTCAAAATCAAAACAAAACCCACTTACAATTGTTCTTGGAACAGGAATACTTGTATAACTGTACTCATATTTTTTCTGTGTTACAAAACGACTTTCGTTACATTATATTAGCTGGTTTTGGAAAGTTTTTGTCCATCACTCAACTGTACTAGTGGCCTGGACTTGGTTTTCAGAGAAAAATAGAAAATTGGAAGTAATTTAAATGAAGATGTCTTACTTTACAATCAATCATGTAGCTTTGATTTGAAGCAGTTGGAGGAACATAGTTGTTAGAAGAGATGTTCAGAACTGTTTCTTAGGATTGAATGCATTCAAAAGACAGAAAGGAGTGTTTGGAAATGTGGGAGATGCATTTTATTGTCTGTGTGAAATGATCAAGAGCATGATGACCAGGCTTTTTTGCTAACTGTCTGGTTTTGATCTCAGCTATGTACGTACAGATAAATACATGTGTATGCCAGACTTCCTCATTAACTTCAGAATAAAGATCACCAACTTTCCCGTAGTTAGAACAATTTTTATTTCTATGTAGAAGCTTTTAGCCAGAATGATATGCTCATATTTGCTCTGCCCTTTATCTGGTAAAGCTTGGTGTACCTCACATTGCTATGTGCTTTTTCTCCAGCTTATCGTACTGCCTGCAGACCTGATCTGCTGGCAAGCCTGCATTCTGTCGGAGTGCCAGGAGGCTCACAATCACTCCACCACTTCCAGGACATCTGGGATGCAGTGTGATGGTAGCACTGGCTGGAACCATCTCAAACTGCAGAGAGGCACCATCTTTTTTTTGGAAGATCTTGGGTTTGAAATGTGATCCCTGAAACGAGACCAGAATAGGTAACTCTTAAACTTACACCATATTTATTTAGCAATTCCTACACTAGCATAAAAACTAACAACATTGTATTTTATGCTCATTGGTGACTCTGAATAACTGTTATGACTAAGCACTGGTTTTACTGGGATGATTTCCGAAAAACTTAATATATATGAGAATCTACCATCTCTGTTTTGCGAAGAAAGATTGTAAGGATTGGACAGGATGATGTAAATCTGCAGAATCTACTGCAGTTGTACAGAACCCTCAAATTTTAAAGGCCTTTTTCCAGTTTAAAACCATTTCTCCTTGTCCTGTTGCTACATGCCCTTATAAAAAGTCCCACCCCAGCTTTCCTGTAAGCCTCCTTCAGGCACTGGAGGGCCACTATACGGTCTGGAACCTTCTCTTCTCCAGGATGAAGAGCCGCAGCTCTCTCGCCTGTCATAAGTCCCAAAATATTATATTCTTAATAATATTTCTTGATGAATGTAGAGAGGTGCACGAACTTCTCCCTTTTGTGGAATGCTGTTCTCCCCCATGGGAAGAACTCATTTGATTTTGCACTGGTATATTCAAAGTTGCATATTGGATTTTAAACGCCCGAGCTCAGTGGATGGTTGAAAATCCCAGCCTTGGTAGATAATAAATGACAGATGTTACAGATATTCCTGGGTGCAATGAAGGTTAGTGAATTTGCTTCTAAAAATCAATTTTAATTTTTTCCTGCTGACAGCTTCATACTAAGAGTTGGCCTCTTTCTGATGCGAACACTGAGATGCTGCTGCAGGCCACTACTGATTGGAATTTACTTGTTGTAGTTTAATTGCATGCTCTACCCTCATCTGTTTGCAATCACAAAGAGGAAGTTTCTGAAGCTTGGGAATGAGAGAAAATAAAATGTCTTGACAACTACAAAACACTGAGAATGCTTTTGGAGTTTTTCCCATCACTGTGATTATGAACAAAAAGTCACAGCTAATTTTTTTAAAAAATTTATCTTTACACTGCACATATAACATAAATAGAGAAAACAACTAGGAAGAGTGGTAATTAATGAAGGTCTCCAAACACTGAATAACTGATAATTAATAAGAGTTCATGAGTTGTTTTGTAAGAAGTTGAATTAGTTCATCATTCAATTAGCTGAGTTAGCTCATTAGCAAAACCATGGAATTGTTCT